TTATAGGTCCTAACAACGCTGGAACCAACGAGAGTGAGGGAACCGAGAAGCGCAGGCTTGCGGTTGAAACTCTCGGGTCTGGGAATCTGAGTTTGGCTCATCTTGGAATCACAGACAGCGAAGAGACCAGCCCAATGTCATCCAACCATAATCTCCCGCTGAGGTCCGATGAGGCCTCGGCAGAGGCAGCAGATCTGGCTGCTAGTCAAGCCGTGTCTGCAGCATACGCGGCCGAGAAGCCTGGTCTCGCTGCCGAAAGTGCCCATGATCGCTCACGATCACTCACCACAACCTCGGCCGGTGCAACGTCTCCACCTCGACAACAGGACACCACCGACTCACCCGCTCCAAGCTCCATACAGCGCCAGGGCAGCATTCGTAGTAGGATCAGCGGCGGGAGGAAGAGACGTCATAGAGGCAGCTCTGCCACCACCGGCAACACCATAGCCGCTGCGATAGGCGCCAGCGCTTCAACATTGGTCCCACAAGCCGGTCGACTCAATGGTACTGGCTTTGCTGTTGCTCCACCAAAGAGGAACAAGGATTTTCACACCTTGTTCAAGAGTGTGCCGGAGGACGATTATCTGATTGAAGACTATAGTGCAGCTCTGCAGAAAGAGATCCTCCTACAAGGCCGTCTTTACGTGTCTGAAGGCCACATATGTTTCTCCAGCAACATTCTTGGCTGGGTGACAAATCTGGTTATAAGCTTCGACGAAGTTGTTTCGGTCGAGAAGAAGTCTACGGCCGTCGTGTTCCCCAACGCTATCGTGATACAAACGCTACACGCCCGCAACGTCTTTGCATCCCTGCTAGCTCGAGACGCCACCTACGATTTGATAATAGGCATCTGGAAGATCTCACATCCCAACCTGAAGTCTTCGCTGAACGGAGTCGCAATTGATGGTGGTTCTGGAACAGGCGATAAGACGGAGAAAGCAGAATCTATCGGCAGCGAAGATGGCTCTGTTCAAGACTCCGAGGATGATGTGTACGATGAAGACGCCGAGGACGACGACGGAATCGGAAGCTTCACAGAGGCTGGCGAGGGTAGTATCACTGGAAGTGAGGTTGGATCCGTGCAGGGAGGTGAGATTCGAAAAGTCAGCGCCACTGTTGCACAGGCCGTTAGTGGTGGTGCCACGAAACTCAGCGAGGGAGCCGAAGCCACGGTAAACGGTGCGCCTTCGGTTCAAGACTACCCTGGCGCGGCGACACATGCAGCTACGGATTGCGGTGACGGTGACCAGCACTATGACAAGCTCTTGATTGACACCACGATCCCGGCTCCTTTGGGCAAGATTTTCAGCTTGACTTTCGGACCCGGGTCAGGAACCTTCATGCGGAAATGGTTGATTGACGATCAAAAGTCAACCGATCTCCAACTGGAGGACGATGGAAAGGGGCTCGGCGAAGGCAACAAAAGCTTTAGCTTCTCCTATATCAAGCCTCTAGGCGGTAGCATTGGTCCAAAGCAGACAAAATGCAACATTACCTCCACGCTGGAGCAGTACGATCTAAACAAGGCCGTCTCAGTGTCGCAGAGCACACAGACCCCAGATGTTCCCAGCGGCAACATCTTTCTCACCAAGACAAGGTATTGTTTGATGTGGGGTCCAAACAATAGCACACGTTTGATCATGACCTTTACGGTCGAGTGGAGCGGCAAGAGTTGGCTGAAAGGTACGTTTGGCCATGCCAGCTGTCTACCTACGCAGACACGGATACTGACGAAACTTAGGTCCCATTGAGAAAGGTGCCAATGATGGCCAAATGACGTACGCAACTAGCCTTAGCACCGCCCTTCGTAACGCTGTAGCCACGAAGTCCAGCATCCCCCGCGGTCCCGGCAAACCGGGCAAAGGGAAGAAGCGCTCAAAAGCCAATATTGCCACATCCGATACACCCGCCACCTCCACACCCTCGACCGCAAACCCTGCAACCAAGGAAAACAGTTGGGGACCGCTCGACCCCCTGCGCAGTCTTCTCGGTCCCGTTGCCGACATCATCGACCTTCTCATCACGAAACAAAACATCATTGTCCTCCTCTTCGCTCTCCTGCTCTACAATCACTTTTTCAGCCGCTCATCTCCCTCCTCATCCATCTCGGGGGGTCACCGCATGAGCTCTGCAGAGCGACAAGTTGCGTATGAAGAAATCTGGAGAAACGAAGAAGCAGATTTGTGGAAGTGGCTTGAGGAGCGTGTTTCGCTGGATCGGGTGCATAGCTCGGTCGGAGGCGCGGAAAGGGTTCTGAAAGGGGCGGAAATACAGAGCAAGCTTGTGGCGGAGAGTATTCGGGAGAGGCAGGTTGACGAGGCGATCAAGACGACGGAGCAGAAGCTGAGGGCGCTCAAACATGCAGTGAGACGCAAGAGGGAGACGGGGACGGAGAGTCCTAAGGAAGAGTCTACGTAACCCTCATCTCTCCCTTCTCTCTATATTTCGGTGGATAGGGAGAATGGCAGCCGGATGGAGGCGGCGGTTAGGCGTCGGTGTTGGGGTGTGAAAGCGAAAAGTAAGGGGGGGATGGAATAGAAGGTACGGCAGATATACCCCTGTTATATTCCTTTGTTTTATCGAGGACTGTGTGTTTGCATGGCATGCATTGGTGAGTGAATGGGTGGTGTTTGTACGTGTATACATACATAAATGCATGGCTGGTGGCGTTTATCGAGTGCATATTTGGAGCGATATGGATGGATTTGGGCTTGGACTTGGCCTAATATCTGCCACACTCTACTTGCTGGATGGGTCTGGGTCTGGGTCTGGGCCTGGGTCTGGGTCTACATTAGCGTGTCTTTGTCACTCTTTTCTCCCTTTTTTTTTCCCTTGTAACTTATGATGAGAGCTGAAAAAATGCGTGTATAATTATTCTTTTTATTGAAGTGATATTGTGAGAGAAAGTTGATTGGGTCTTTGAGTCAAGTGTCGATATTGGTGTGAGAGAAAATGAGGAGTGCGGGGCGAGTAAAACTCATCTGGAGGTTTGTCGCTGCATGGTGTCTTGTGGATTGGGGTGGGGGTAGGGTTAGTTAGTACGTCTAAAGGGCTATCGATGGGTTGTTTGGGGTTGTTTTGTGGTGTGGAGGATGTCACATGGAGACAGTTGTCTTCTTTCTTCACTTCATCTAACTTATTTGCAGAGTGATCGTCAGTGGTAACGTAACTTAATGTAATGTAATATTAAGATCTGATTTAACGGGTAGGTATTTAAGATAGGTATCTGTGGTTACACTGTGTGCATATCTGGAAGCCCAGTTCGCGAGCAAGAGGCCAAGTTCTCGTTGGATCAGAAAAGGCGCGAGAGATTTCCGGGGATTCATTCATCCGCGGCGTGATTATGTTCGGCTGATTGTACAGCAGCGCGCACAGTCTTAGGGAACAGTCGGAGAGTTTGTGACTTAAGCCGCAGAGGGTTGAATAGCGTTTGAAGCGGAGAACGCCCATGCCCACGATCAGGACTCCTCCTTCTCTTTCTCCTGGAAAAACGTGAGCCTTCTCAGAAATGGTCAGGTCGATACGTGCTACCCTTATTTCGAGAGGTGCTTCCGCAGCCAGTGCTCTTCAAGGGCGTCTTGGGGCTTCCTGCTGCCGGCTTTGAGTTCATCGCGGTGCCGTTTTCCAGGGGGATTTGGACGTTGGTTTTTGGAAGATGTCTTTGAAAACGTGTCTTGTGGGCGAGTGTCCCTCTCTGTGAAGTTGCTGTGTTCGCGATTAGATGACGGAAACGGGCCTTGTGGCCGAGCATTCCTCTCTATGGAATTGCCGTATTCATGAGTGGACGACGGAAACGTGTCTTGTAGCCGAGCGTAACTCTCCATGAAATCCTGCAGAGGGGGATTGTCCACCTTCTCGACCTTGTACAAGGTAGATCCGCCCTGGTGATCTGTCCTCAGCTCATAGCCTAAAGCATCGCGGCGTTGATCATACGCGCTTCGTTGAGGAGAGCGAGAGCGCGATTCTCGCCGACGCAAGGAACTATCATGAGAGCGGTGATGCATGTGATTTTTAGGTACGTGTAAGTTATATGATGTAGGCTCTCGCCGGGGCGAAGCTGCTCTCCCACGCCGTCTATCACCGTCGTAATCCTACTACGCGAGTCGAAGTGCGAGTCGTTCTCGTTCCTTGGACGCATTCCATAACCTCTCCGGTCATCGCGCCCGCGATATATAGGCGAGGGAGATCTACCACGATCCGCTCCGTGCCGTGCCTCCCCGTACAAACCTGCACCTTACAGGACCTCCGCTCATCACGCTCGCGGTAGACTAGGGAGGGCGACTTACGAAAATAGGATCTCCGGTCATTCCTCTCGCGGTAGACAGGGGAAGGCGATCTATGAAGCCTGAACCCGTTTTGCCCACAGTCGCGATTGCGGAAGCGACTATCTTCACGGTTGGATGTCATTTTTTTTATATGGAGATTGGATAATCCGCACTCCGGACTTGCGTCAGCGATTGTGACGCGATGGTGGTTAGGAACAAAGGTTCCTTGGTTTAGTGTGAAGTTAATTGGTTTGGTTTAATATAGACAGCCCGCACTCTGGTAGCCCTCCCAAGGTGTGAACACCTCGGGGGGTGAAGGTAGTTGATCTTGATGCCCAGCGTGAGTCGGAAGCGCAATGAAGTAGGAATCGAACCTACAATGCGGCAAGCAAGATGAAGAAGGAGAAAGGGAGGAGAGTGGCAGTGGATGGCCTTTTATAAGGTTGCTTGCGGTGGGTCCGTGCATGTGCACGTGGGAAATGGGTTGAGGAAGGAGCGATGGAGGGAGGGAGGGAAGACGCGAAGTTGCCGAAGCTACAACGTGCGGGATTTACGACTCCACCATGTAACTTTTGTACTGAGCGAGTCAAGTTGTTGCCCAGATGTTTAGGGAGCTTCAAATGTGTAAATATGAATGAATTACCTCCCAAGTTCACTCATTCGTTCATTTATAAAAATATGAAATAAACAGCGAGAAAAAAACCCCAAAAAAAAAGTCATAAAAAATTTTTTTTTTGCCAGCGATTGGACTCGAACCAATGTCTCTATCACAGTGTGACCCTCAATTTCAATCTCTTTTAGAGGAGTACTCCCTGGAACAACTAGCGTGCTACCACTGCACCACGCTGGCCTTGCTTTTTGTATATAGAAATCGTAGCGCGTAAGAGGTATATATACAGGCAAAAAAAGTGAAGGGAGTGGAGAAGTGAAAAGGTGGAGGGGAGCTGGTGGTGGGTATACTGGCAAACGAGGTATGTTGGCAAACGAGGAATGCCTCAAGTAACACTACTTCGACAGCCCTACGTTGGCGACGACGTCGAGCAACATTTGAGCAATAAAGAAGTTGTCTCATTAGCTATCCTACCTTTTTACGACCTTGTAACAGCCTCCCATTAGTTTTAGTTGGTTAAAGCCCTGCGAAGGGTCAGTTGAGAAGTTTCCTTTTAGCCTTCATTAAGAGCTTAAAATTGACTCTAGGTCTCTTGGAGCAAATTCAGGACGTGTTAATAGTCAGAGGATAAATGGCGGAAGCAATGCACTTGTAGCTTAAATTTTTTTCGACACATAAAGAACCAAGTCGCTGCGAAAGATATATGTATGTTGAAGCTTAGAAACCCAGCTACTGTAGTAGCATACCTTCTTCGATCTTAATTAAGAAAGAGCTTATTATTTACAACCCTCTATCCTATCCTGTACAAAAAACATCAAGCTCTCTTGCTCTCATATATAAGAGCATCTATAAACATGTTACTCTAGTACTACATTCTTCTAAAATCAATGCAACATTCTTGATTAAAGTGGTCTTGAGATGTATTTACTCTACTACCCCCTTCCCTCAGCACTCCAACTACCTAGGTATCTTCACCAAAACCTAATGTCCCGCACCATGCACACTGCGGCAACCTACCCACAGAAGCTTGGGTACGTACTGCATTTTGTGTCCGACGCACTTATCTATCAATCCGCAGCCCTAAAGCCCTGCAGAGCTAATAAAATCACCTGGGAAGCAAACACTGTGTCATTCATTATATTAAGCTTATAATGTAACAGCACACAACCGACGCCATACACTTAGCAAGATTAAATCGAACGACGGAAGTCGAGGCATACTAGACGCCAGTCAAGGAGCATGCCGTTTACTGCGCAGTAATTCCATTAAAAAGGCGACTTCAGCAGCGATGTTGGTATCGAGACAGCTTGAGTTACGAGCCATACATTGCACTGTACTGAGAGACTGCTGCGATGCGGTTGACATAGGTGATGAAACGTCAGACTCGTTGATTAACTGATTAAGTTTTTCTTCTAACCTTTATAGCATCCCTCCTTCGAGGTATGCATGGCATTGCCAAACTATTAACACACGCTCGACTTCACAATCGTCCCAGCGAATCTAATCCAATCCGTTTTAATTCACTTTCCACTCCTCCACCCGCCACCACCGCCTCCTCCCCTCCAATTCCCTCCACCACCGCCACCACCACCTCTACCTCTTCCCCTATATCCACCACCACCAAACCCAAACCCACCCCTCCCCCCACCGGCCCTAAAATCATCAGTCCAAGGCCCAAAATCACCCCCAACCTCCACAACCCTATCCTCCTCATCAAACCCAAACCTAACTTTCTGATCGAGCCTCGAATGCTGCATACCACGCCCTTTCCTCTTCTCCTCAGGCGTCCAATCCCTACTCGTCTCCAAATCCAGCTCTTTCAGTCGCGCTTCCGAGCGTTGGTCTGATACGGGTAGGAAGTATAATTGCGGTTTTGCGGTTGTAGAGTGGAAGAGTTCGTCGAGGGTTTTGAAGGATTTCTCGATGTCATGCCGGGTTTCTGATGAGGGTGCGGGGGCGTGTGTGGGAGGTGCGAGGTTGGAATTGGTTTGGTGGGACGTTTTTCGAGGGCCCGTTGGGGGGTTGAACGGCGCGGCGGATCCGGCATTAACGGCACCGCCAACGGCGCCGACTTCTTGGAATACGGCTTCAACGGTCCCGTCTTCGTTCTCGGGATACACAATCTCGAATTTCTTGCCTCTTCCTGATATTCCCGAAGCGCGGGCGTCTTTGTCTTCTTGAAACGCGGCTTCCTCTTCGGCGATCCACCCTTCGACTTTGTCGTCGGGAATGAAATCAACCCAGAGATCTTTCCGATTTCCCTCTGGCGGCCATATCGATCCATGAAGAGAGGCGCGAACGCGAGATGCAGCGGTAGTGCTGGCGAAGAGGACAAGAGCGTGGGTTTTCATGTTGTCGAGGAAGAGAGATTTGAGGATTGAGGGAGAGGGAGATGAAGAAGGGGGTGTGGCGAGGGAGATGAGGTGCATGCGGAGGGCCTCTGGACGGAGAGGCCGCATGAAGTTGCGGATATAGAGGGCTGGTGTGGCTGGATGGAGAGCAGGGGCGATGGGACGGTCGTCAGTTAAGGCGTCTTCCATGGGTGTGTCTGTTGTTGAGGGCTGGAAAAGGTCCTTGTAACGAGGTGCCTTGTCTTTCTTTTCGGGAGCTTGGGTTTTGCTGTTAAGTTTTGGGGTAGGCGATTTGTCGTCTTTGGGAGGGGCATCATTCGGTTCTTTCGGTGGTATTGATGCTTCTGTTTCTTGTTCACGCTTCTCCTCACCATCCATAGAAGCCTCCATAGCTTTTTCATCGACCTCCTTTTCTTCTTGCTCGGGCGCTGCCTGTTCCATTACCGCATCCACATTCACGTCCATTTTATTCTCTCCACCATTTGTGGCAGCTTCCATAGCCTTCTCATCGACCTCCTTCTCTACTTCCTCAGGAGCTCTCTCCCCCATCACCGTATCCACATTTACATCCGCTTCATCCCCCTCTTGTATCGCGTCCTCCTTAAGAACCACTTCCGGCGCCGCATCACTCGGTCTCGGCCGCTTCGCTCTCAGCTTGACATCCTGACTAGGTAACTCCGGCGTCAAACTCCTCCTCTTCCTCTTCCTCGTCTCAGCCTCCAATTCCTCAGTATTCAACCGCGTATCAGGTTCCGCTGTCGTAGTAGCTGAGCGCTCTGCTATAGGCAGGAGTTCTGCCTTTTCAATTGAAGGTTTCTCATCGGGAGCAGAGGAGGGTGTACGATTCCTAGAAAGAAGAGAATGTGGAGAGGGTTTCGAGGGTTCGATGGCTGGTTCGGCGGGAGCTGGTGTGGATGTAGATGGTTCCTCGGGAGCCGGAGGCGCGGGTGCAGGGTCCTCCGTAGCTTGTGGTGCGCTTGGTTCTTCCGAGATTGTAGTGTCTGCTTCAGGTTGAGGTTGTGAATCTGCGACTGGCGCGGTCTGTGTGACTTCTTCACCCTTCGCTTCATCATCCTTCGTGTCTTGCTCGGGTCCTTCCGCAGCGACCGCAGGCGCTGCAAACAGATTAGCTTCCCGCGCTTTCTTTCCCAGCTTCAATCCTTCTTGAATTGAGAGCTTACCATCAGCATCTTGCATGGGCGCATCTTTCTGTTCCTCCTCCTTCTCTGCAGCAGGAGTTCCGTCAGCCTTCTCGGCCGCAGGCGCACTCTGAGTAGTATCCCACTCCTCAAGCTTCTCAATAATCTGCGCTTTACGCGTCAAGCCTGTGGACGGAATGCCGCGATCCTTGAGCAATTGCCGCAGATTCGCGACTGTCTGTTTGTTGTAATCCGTCATAGCTCAGCTCGAGTTGCGCTGTAGTGTTGCAGCGGGAAAAGTCGTGGACGTGCAATCAGACATGCGCGATGGTAAGAATGGAGAGGAATGATACCTTGTGGCGTTAATGCTCTGTTTTGCGCCGTGGTTTGGTTTGTGTTCGGGCCGTCGCATTCGTCGACTTACGTTCACGTCAAAGAAATGCGCAGCGCGCGTCAACCGAGTTGCTCTTAGTAGATCTGCTAGGTTCAAAGAGGCCTAGCGTATCTGCAACATGCAACACGCGACTTCACCCGGCTTTCTAGACATCAAATTGAAGCCTTCGACGTAGACGTACTTGATTTTGAGAAAAAGGCATAAATGCTGCACCCGTTCTCTCGCTCATATTCATGATTCTGCATGCGACTCAAATTCGTGGATTAACACATCCACGATCGTCCACTAATCGTTCGGGCATCCACACCGTCAACGCCTCAGACTATGACAGGAACCTAGAGAAACCGAAATAGGGTATCCAATAGCGGCCCAAATGCGTTTCCCAAAGAAAAGCAAACTCCTCAAAAATCAACGCCATGGGAGGCAATTCCCTAAAATGCCAACCAAAAATCTCATACAGTCCTTCATTCCATACCAGCCCGTGGCTGTCATCCCTGCCCTGGCGGTCTTGCACCAGGCCTCACTCCCCCAAAATTATCCCACTGATGATCGGGTTGTTGCTCTCCAGAGCTATAATACCTCGGCGGGCTTTGATTCTGCGGCACATCATACGGCAAGCCCTGCGACTCAAAGTCGGTAAATTTACCATGTTGGGGCGCGCCTGTTGGCGCTACACCGTATTCCTGTCCGGGCGTCGGTGCCGGAGGGAGGCTGTCGGGGTTTCTGTATCCATCGTAAGCGCCGTGGTACGAGCCCGTATCCTGGCGAGAGTACGGATTAGCTTGCGCGTTATTCAAGAGACCAGACAAGTCAGAGTCCTCGAACCCTTGTTTTGTCTGTTTCGTTGGCTTTGCCGACTCCACAGCTGCCTCGCCATTTCCTGCAAAAGTGGGGCCGTAATATGCCGTGCTCTCATGGGACATGGGCTCGAGCTTGGTTTGGTAAGATGGGTCGGATCTACGGTGACGAACGCCGTAAAAGAGCCAACGGAAACCGCGACCACTTGCTTTGATGACATCCCAGGGGTTGAGCGCATCGAGGAGGGCTCGCGCAGGGCCATATGCGTATGTCTTGGGCGATTCCGGAGGTAGCATGTCGCTACCTTGCGGCAGTGGATCGTGGCGTCTGCCTAGATCGTATGGTTTCCAAGGGAATGCCCAGAGATGAACGACGGCGAAAATGGACATCTCAACGCAAGTCAACATGGAGGGAATCCCAATTCGTAGATCTGGTCCACCAATCTTGTCTGTGGCTTTGAGTGGGCCACCCGATGCGGTCAGGAGAGAGATGATATAGCTCTGCCAGAAGCAGAAGAAAATGACAAGCTTGATGCAGAGCACCTTGAGGAAGGGTCGG